TTTTTCCAGTGTGACCCTAACATGTATTTCATACCCAAATTTGTGTTCAAGACACTGACTGAACTTTTTGCCTTACAAGGTTTGCTATCACAGTCTATTTAGCTGAGCTGGCTCTGCTCACATCTCAAGCTCAAATCCCATCTTTCTATTAATATCTCTTGGCAAAGATAATTTTGGAGGAATGTAAGTTAAGAGTAGAGGTTCTTAACAATCGTCTGGTTTTTGTTTTTCATTTTTAATAGAGAAGTGGAGTTGAAAGTAATATTGCTTTTGCGTTTTCCATCTTTTCCCCCCCTAAATCTTAAAATTAGAAATATATGCAGAAAAGAATCAAAGGATTTGCTTACATAGATGTGTTTTTGTCATTTGCGAACTTGTTGTAATGGCATTAGAGTATGTAATAATCTTTTAAAGATTGTACCCTTTTAATATCTAGAGCAGTGATTCTCGACCTTTAATACAGTTCCTCATGTTGTGGTGACCCCCAATCATAAAATTATTTTCTTTGATACTTCATAATGAATTTTGCTACTGTTATGAACGTGGTGACCCCTGTGAAAGGGTTGCTCAACTCCCAAATGGGTCGCGACCCACAGGTTGAGAACCACTGATCTAGAGGAACTTGTGCTTTAATTTTTAAAAATATATTTATTTTAACATTAAACTAAATATAAACTAACCTCACATCATATGAAACGGGGATGGATTTGGGTTTTCTTTGTTTTTTGACAATTTTGAAGATTTCAAAAAAGTTGAAATACTGAACACTCACATATTACATACATCCAGATTTAACAATTGTTAACATTTAGTTATTTTTACTTCAATTGATTCATCTGCTGAAGTATTTCAAAGTAAATTACATGTATCATATTTCATCTCTAAATACATCTGTAAAAAATAAACACTTTCCTTATACCTAATGATGCTGATAATTCCTTAATTATCTAATTCCCATATCTCACAAAGAATAATTTCAAATTGACCACCAAAGTATTTTTTATGACTTTTTGCCCAAAAAAGAATTCCATTTAAGGTTTAGACATGGCTTTTAGTTACTTCTCCTCCCCTAATTTATCATGACTTTAACTTACTGAAAAAGCCAAGCTATTTATTCTATAAAATATTTAGTATTTGTCCAACTGCTTCCTCAATGTATCATTGTTTCTCTTTCCCCATGTATTTCCTGTGAACTACATGTTATTGATCTGAAAGTATGATTAATCTATTTAAAACTTTTGACCAGAACACTTTCTACACCATAGTAGAAAGCACATATTCGGAAGTACCACTTTTTTGTTGTTTCTTTGTTTGTTTTGTTTTTATTTGTTTTTTTAATCATTTTTTATTGGGGGCACATACAACTTTTATCACAATCTGTACATACATCCCACTGTGTCAAGCACATTTGTACTTTTGTTGCCATCATCATTCTCAAAACATTTTCTTTCTACTTGAGCCCTTAGTATCAGCTCCTCATTTTACCCCTCCCTCCTCCACTCTCCCTCCTTAACAAACCCTTACCAATGTCATCCTTCACCCACTTTTCTGTTGTCCATCCCCCAAGGAGGAGGTTTTATGTAGATCATTGTGATCTGTTCCACCTCTCTCCCCCCACCTTTCCCTTGCCCTCCTGGTATCACTACTCTCATTTTGGTCCTAAGGTAAGGTGACCAGATTTTAACATTGGTAAAGCGGGACACCATTGACAAGGGCGGAGGGGTGTTCTTAATTAAAAATTTGGTCTATATGGAGCAACAAAAATGTTCATAGAACGCAAAAATAGTATTGTAATATATATATTTTTTGTAATATATTTTTTAATTTCAACATAAGTACAATTTACAAATATAATACATTAAAAATTATGTATAGTATTATTTTATTCTTTGGCATATTTCTCATTTGAGTGAATTTTTTTAGTAGACTGTTGTCGTTTAAAAGGTCATGAAATTTTCCACAAGAATTTGTTAAATTATATTTCACACATAAAATGGCTTTCAAAGTCTTAACACTTAATTGGGAGTTTTCTGATGTCCACACTTTATTTACTATAGAAAAAACGCATTCAGTCGCAGCATTAGTTCCTGGTAAGGATAGCGCGTATTCCACAATTTTAAGTGCATTATTGTATGGAACATGGTTTGTTTCAAAATGATGAAATATTTCTAACCATTTGTTCTCTATTGTGATTTTTGCTGATGCCCAAGATTTAACCTTTTCCTTATCAATATATATTTTTAATAATGATATCTTATTAAAAAGATCATTTTTTGAAATATTACTATATGGGAAATCTTGAGTAATATGATCGAATGATTTTTGCACATCATTCTAGTACTATCTGCTGAATTCAAGAAAATTTATGTATTTATGAAATAAATAAATAAATTACTTACCTAAATTATCTGAATAGCTGATTTGTTGGCATTACTTGTTTAACTAGCACTAGCACGCAGTAGCAGTACGATATGTATCGTCTGAGAGACAGTTACAAAATGTTTTCCTTGTTGCCAATGCCAAAAAATAACATTGTTCATTAAGTCCAAATAATGGTGGTCGAATTCTAACAACTGATCAACAATGAGAACTTTGATAAGCAGTTCTTGATAACCAGTTCTCAACAATTATTTATTATTAAAATTTAACATTATAAAATTAACAAAAACGATATAAAATTCATCCTGGTGAAATAGCCACATGGCAGCTGAAAACCGTATATTCCCTTCCCGTTCTCCCACCATTCCCTAGCTTGTTGTGCATTCTTTCCAAAAATCAGGACTGTCCCACCAAAAGCGGGACGTCTGGTCACCTTATCCTAAGGGGTTTATCTGTCCTGGATTTTTTTGTTTCCAGTTCTTATCTGTACCAGTGCACATGCTCTAGTCTAGCTGGATTTCTAAAATAGAATTGGGATCATGATAGTGGGGGAGCATTAAAGAACTAGAGGAAAGTTATATGTTTCATTAGTGCTATACTGCATCCTGACTGGCTTGTCTCCTCCCCGCAACCCTTCTGTAGGGGGATGTCCAATTGCCTACAGATGGGCTTTGGGTCTCCACTCCACACTCCCCCTCGTTCACAATGATAAGATTTTTTCTGTTCTTTGGTGCCTGATACCTGATCCTGTCAACACCTCCTGATCATACAGGCTGATGTGCTTCTTCCATGTGGGCTTTGTTGCTTCTGGGCTAGATGGCTACTTGTTTATCTTCAAGCCTTTAAGACTCAAGGCGTAATATCTTTTGATAGCCGGGCACCATCAGCTATCTTCACCACATTTTCTTATGCACCTGCTTTGTCTTCAGTGATTGTGTCGGGAAGGTGAGCATCATGGAATGCCAGTTTAATAGAACAAAGTGTTCTTGCGTTGAGGGAGTACTTGAGTAGAGGCCCAATGTCCTTCTGCTACATTAATACTAAACCTATAAATCTAGGCACGTAGATCTATTTCCCCATCATCATATATAAATATAATGCCCTTTGCCTCCTCCTACGTCTTAGCTCTATTTCCTTTTACTTTCCTCTTGTCCCACTATCATGTTCACCCTTCATTTGGGTTTCAATAATTCCTCTCAGTTACATTGCCCTTAATCAAACCTTACCAGGCTTCTTACACCCTCCTTGCCATTGATTTTGGATCACTTGTTCCTTTATCCTTGGGTTTGTTAATACCACTTCCTTTCCCCCACCTCCTCCTCTCCCATGTCCTCCCAGAACCATTGGTCCCATTGTTTTCTCCTCCAGATTGTTTATCCCCCCCCCTATCCTATCTATATAGACTTACACAGAAAACAAGACAGAGCAAAGAAAAACTAAAGAAAACAATAACAACAACAAAAAAGAAAAGCCTGTAAATAGTTCAAGGATTGCTTGTTGATCTTTAGGAGTATTTTCCCGTCTAGTCCGATGGGGTGCCACGCACTGGCCCCAAAGTCTACTTTTATTCACTGGGGACTCCCATTTCTCTGTTCCCCTTGCTGTTCTGTTGCACGCCCTTAGTGTTCCGCCTCAGTGTGGTGGGGTCAGGTCAAGCGCAATTCCCACACTGTGTCTCCAGTGTTTTCCCCGGTAGCACTATGGGTCAGTGAGGGACATCATGGAATACCAGTTTAATAGAACACCATGTCTCGTGGTGGGGCTGGCCCTGTGGTCCTTTCTGAGCAGGTTGCTGTGAGCAGCAATATCGTCCTCAGGGCTTGCTGGGCCAGGATGTGTTTCACTCTCAATACCTCCCTCTTCATTTGCTCCTGTGTCCTCTGATCAGTTGTGTCCCTCTCCCTGAGCTGTAGCTTCAGTGCTGTCCTTTGAAGTGAATTCTGCAGGGTGGGGGGGTGCTGTCCATGTAGTTCAGATTGGGGTCGGCCCCTCAGACCTCTTCGTTGGGAAGTACCACTTTTAAACGGTGTTAAATGATACGATTCATCACTGGGTTAAGATGATGGCCCCTTGGACCTTCATTGTAAAGTTAGGTTTTGACATTGTGACCAGTGTATAATCTGATATTTTGATTCTATGGAAATACCAGTTTCCCATCATATTTTCACCTCATGAATGTAGTAGCCATTGATGATCCTTGAATGAATAAATTTCATTATAGGAATCACAAATTGATGGAGTTTTTTGCCCCACAATATCCATACAGTTATTAGCAGGTAGTCTTCTCTGAAAAAGAACTTTCTGAGAGGTTTTGTTTTGTCTTTCTTGGCCAGGCAGGGTCAGAACACCTGAACTCATTGTGGCAGCTATAGTAAAAACATGACCTACAGCTTCTTAACTCTTTAACTTGTGAAGTGTGTTGACATTATGCTGGTTTTTGTTTTAATGCCAAAGGGAAAAGCAGATCTTTTCAGTGTAAGAATGAACGTTGAACTATGTGGATATATTGAGATAATTGTGTAAAAATACAACTATTTGAGTACGTTTTAAAATGGCTTATTTCTTCATTACCTAGCACTTTATAATTAACTGTTCTTTTTTTTGTTCTTTTTTTATTTCAGGAAGCTGCCACTTTTGGGAGAGAGCAAGGCTTTGAAGTGAGTTAACCCACAATTGCACACTAAACAGATCCTAAAGGTTTTTTCTTGCTGATAATGAAGTTCTTTTGGACAGTGATTGATGTGCTATTATACTCTCAGAGCCTCGCAGTGGTTGCCATGGAAACTTGGCAGTCGTCATGGTTTCTTTGTTCTGCCAGCATAGTGTTATGACGCACTCTGCTAGGTCTGCACCCAACATCGCCTACAGATGTTATTTATTGAATTTTGAAAAGCCTCTTGGGAAGCCAAGAGGTTGGGCACGGTTTCAAGCTGCCTCTGCAGATATGGGGCCTGTCAGTTTGTTCAGTTAAAAAGCTGCCTCATTAGCTCATTACATTTCATAAGCCTTTACTGCTAAAGCAGTAGTGGAGCAAGACTAAATAGTGAAATATAATGTTGTTTAAATAATTTCAACCCTACCACATGTAGATTATCATTATGCAAATTAACTTCCAGAAGGTTGTACTTAGCAGTTGTATGAACTGATTCATTTAAATCATGGTCATAAAAACTTCCTGCTTGGCGGTTTTTTTTATTCTTTCCCCATCCCCTTAAGATATCATTAGATATGCATAAATTTTCTGAAACTAAATATTGATAATTGGTTTTAAATTCCAGATCCTAATTCTATTTTCCTGAATCTTTATCCTGTTGAGATTCAAAACCCCGTCTTTTTTACCTATCCATCTTCCAACAGTTTTTCCAATGGATTATTATAAAACACTAAATTTAATCTAAACTCACGTTAATTGATAGACTACACTGAGTTTATGACTTATTTGTGACTGTAAGATTTATTGAGCCTGCACTATGGAATATGCTGCATCTTGTACAGTATCTTGGCATATTGGAAGGCAGTTGTGTGTGTGTGTGTGTGTGTGTGTGTGTGTGTGTGTGTGTGTGTTAAACTCACTGCCATTGAGTTAATTCCAACTTATAGCCAGCCTATAGGACAGAGCAGAACTACTCCTGTGGGTTTCTGAAACTGGAAATCTTTATGAAAGTAGAAAGCCTGATCTTTCTCCTGAGAACTGCTGGTAGTTTCAAACAGTTGACCAGCCCAATGCTTAACACATTAGGCCACCAGTGTGGCACCTTAAAAAATTGTGTTTTTTTCACCAGCACCATCCCCCGCCGACTCATAGGGACCCTAAGTACAACAGAAACACCACTCAGCCCTGGGCCACCTCCACAAATGTCCTTATGGTTGAGTCCATTGTTGCAGCCACTGTTTCAATTCATCTTGTCAAAAGCCTTTCTCCTCTCTAGTGCCCTCCACATTGTCAGGCATAATGTCCTCTTCAGGACTGGTCTCTCCTGATAACATGTCCAAAGTATGGGAGACAAAGGACGTTTCACCATCCTTACTTCTAAGGAACATTCTGGCTGTTCTTTTTCCCAGCTAGATGTGTTTGTTCTTTTGCCAGTCCGTGGTATTTTTGGTATTCTTCTTCAACACTAGTTCAAATGCATCAATTTTTCTTTGGTCTTTAGTCAATGTCCAACTTTCACATGAATTTGAGGTGATTGAAAATGCCGTGCCTTGGGTCAGGCATACGTTAATCCTCAAAGTAACATCCATGCTTTGCAGCACTTTAAAGAATTCTTGTGCAGCAGATTTACCTAATGCAATACGTCATTTGATCTCTTGACTCCTGCTTCCATGAGCATTGTGGATCCAAGCAAGGTGAAATCCTTGACAACTTCAATCCTTTCTCCATTTATTGTGATGTCACTTATTGATCCAGTTATGAAGATTTTGGGTTCTTTACCTTGAGTTGCAATCCATACGAAGCCTGAAAACCCTGATCTTCATCAGCAAGCCATTGATTGGATAGTATTAGTAAACTGATATTGAACTCTTTAGATAAAAGTATTGTGTGAAGTGTGATAAACTGCCAGCAAGGCAATGCCAACTCATAGCGACCCTCTAGGACAGGATAGAACTTCCCCGCCGGTTTCTGTGACTGTAACTCTTTACGGGTATAGAAAATCCCATCGTTCTCCAGAGGAATGGCTAGTGATTTCCATTGTTGACTTGGAAGTTCACAGCACAATGTGTAACCTCTGCATCACCAGAGCTCTTTGTGAAGTTGTGATGCAACTGTTACTTAAATATATCAAAGGTGACTCATTATCAAGTGACAGAATAATACACGAACCTGTTATCTATGCCATAGAACTTGATATCTAGAATTATGAAGCATCATCTTCACAGAGGAAAATAAAGAGCATGTAATGTGAGTATTCTACACTCGTAATCTTATGAAAGAACTGTTTCAAGATAATCTGCCTCACTGGACATCACCTTACGGAAGGGTGGTGAGGAGGAGACAAGCCAGTCAGGTGCAGTATAGTACCGATGAAACAACTTTCCTCTAGTTCTCAAATGCTTCCTTCGCCCCCTTCCTCCCCCTCTCCCCACTATCATGATCCGAATTCTACCTTGCAAGTCTGGCTAGACCAGAGGATGTACACTGGTACA